GGCTTTCATGAAGTCCTTCTTAGGCAGATAGTGTTTAGCTGGTGTTCAGTTAATGTTCAGTTAAGCAAACAAACTTCAAAAATGCAGAAAATGCTTTCGGTCTTATGTGGCTGGATGCTCTGATCTACCAACGCTCCTGAGCTTTTCGGGGATTGTCACAAGCATTATTTAACCGAAAACTATTTTAAACCTAAAAGACAGAAACTTTATCATTTAAGTTAGAAACACACATAACACGCCATGCTATTTTAGCTGTTGTGATATAGGACACGTTATTTGTCCTATTTTATTTAATAGTCATGTGACCGACATACTGTATTCAACCTACGTAGACTACATCTGCACAGTATGCTGATAACATTTCGATTCTGTAGCACCATGCATATTTCAATCCAGTTATCACTACATTACAGATCTACGTCCACTCTTGACTCTTGATTGAAATGAGGAACTGCTACAAGTGTCGTCCCTCACTTCTAAGCAGTGTTGTTATTATGTGTTGCTTTAGACTCATCCTTTCCCTTCCCCGAATGAGGTGTCGAATCTTTTGCTTGTTTGCTCAGAATTTCGTTTTCTGTACCTGTTGGTATTTCAGAATAATATTTCGTAAAGGTGCAATTAGCACTTGTTCTCTTTGGAATTCATTTTGCGTACTCTTTTCAATCACACCTAGTTCCATCCGGGCCTGCGTATGTAATCTTATCATGCGCAGCTTGTAAATCCTACAAAATATAAACTTCGGAATGAGATCTAATCAATTTTAACGCTTCGAAGGAAGCTGATATTGTTTCTCTACGAAACGTTTGAGCCCTGGAAAGACAGAAAATCGCCACTTCACTTTCAAAAAATATTTTTGCAAGTTTCGTTTGTAATAGATTCAGTGAAATTTTTAAACATCTAAGACTTGAATAAGTAAATATCTTCTTCATTAAATAAATGCGAAAGTCTCCATTCGACGCTAATACATGATGGAATGATATCATAGCAAGTCCGTTTTAGTCTGTGGCATTGCTCGCATAATCGTTTAAAATGAGCATTAACCGCTCATTTTAAACATATAATTTTATATTTTGTTTCTTAATTTTCTATGCATTAAATTCTTAACTTGTAGATATATCGTAACTTTTTGCCTGAAAACTGTTTCAGCTGTTAAACTGGAATCTTAAGCATAGAGATCAGATAGCAAATTTTCCATATGTATTCGCTATCATCTTAGAGGGAATTTAATATTATTTTTCTTTAAATAAAATTGGGTTTATTGGATTACAACAAATCCCATAGTGGGTTGTCCACCTAAGAGAAGGAAGGATTTCGGGGAGTGTTTTCTAAGGGCAAGTGGCCTGTATTCGGGTTACCCATGCAACCAGTCTTTTTGCCGGTATATGAAACCTGATTGAGTTACCAGTATTCAGCGATCCTATCCACTCGGCCACTGATTATTCCACTCTCTTTGTTTAGAATTTCTCTCTAGGATGTTTTGTTTGTCGACAGAATCCAGAAAAGGATCAAACGGATCATGTTTCTATCATTTGTCATATTCCTTCCAAATCTGAACACTCTCGTGTTATTTCTTGAACATCATTTAAATAAAATATAAATAATTCTAAGTTTATTAACTTTAAATCTCAAACATTTTTAAGTATACATAATTTAATTAAAGAATTTTTCAAATAAAACAGTGCCTTCTTACTTCTTCTTTTTGAATAACATTATAAATAGTGCGAAAGTTAATAGAAAAACTGCGCACAGGTTATACTGTATGCTGCATTGTACATATACATACTTTGCCCTTTTGTTTATTTTTCCTCTCTCTAGAATGACCACCTCTACCATTTTCGCCCTAATACCTGTTATAAATCTTTACTTTTCTAGTACATTTATTGTCAGATCTACACTATAAACACTATAACAATAAATAGCATGAGGGAATTCGATACATTAATTCATAATTCACTTTGAGTGAAGTAGGCCATGGAATTAAACAAATCAAACCAGTTATAACTACACTACTGGAATCCCTTTGTTACGGCACAATCTCCTAATACCCGCCCCGACTAAAAATAGTAAATTTAAATTTAGATAAGTATTTTGATTGAATATTGCCTTTTGATTTCATCAATAGGAAACCAAATAATTATTATACTAATTGCCTGTAAGGAATCAAAAAGCATTTTATTTTTTATCAATGTCATCTATCAAACATACGCTATTAACATGATTTTACTTAAAATTCCACGTCATCGTAGGTGAATTTTCCCATGCCTCGCTCTTTTAAAACGCCTTTTTTCTATATATGGCCCTACATCAGATTGCTGGCGTTATACAAAGTACGATACAAAGTTGTACACATAGAGAACAGCAATGGCGAAGTCAAATTAATAAACAATTAAAATCTCTCAGAAGTGATTTGTACCATATTAATTTCTTTTTTTAATATCAACACAAAAAGTTCGACGACTAGGAATCGACTGAATTTTGTGCTCACCTTTATGATTTTCACAGAATTCAAAATTCCCCAAAATTTAGAGATAAAATCAAATTTTTCACATATTTCATATAAAATATTCTCATTAAAATGAATTCTATATCTATTCAGCGTTTTAATTACTAACCACAAAAGATAAACTAGAAACTTAATTTTAAAAATAAATGAAGTTCCATACCAGATAGTGCTAGAATAATGATTTCAAATCAATTGTCACTACAAAGCACTCCATTTCATTTATACGGTTTATATTTTCTTTAAAATTAATTGTGAAGAATTTTTATTTCATTATATTCTCTGAAACCGAGCTAATTATGATCTGTTACATTATATAATATAGTTATTAGTTTTAATTAAAACCTCAACAGCCAAATCGCAGTGAGTGCTAATACACTCATGGCCACCGTAAGTGCAACACCCTGAAGGAAGCATGTAAATAACATGAAATTTACAACATGCATTAGTGGAGGTGAGATATGCAAATGATTAGAATTTCAGCGCAGACGCACATCACGCGCTAAAGCGCTATTTAAGGCTTGGAGTTTTCGACGATTTCAAGTTCGGCAAATGTGTTTTTCTTGTGGTTTTTCAAAAAAAAAAAAAAAAAAATATCAATTATGCTTCGTAGTAAACAGCGATCATCGTTTGATCAAGTATCCGAGTTCGACAGAGGAAAGATAGTGGCCTACCGAGAGTGTGGATTATCTTTCAGGGAAATCGGTAGTCGTGTTGGACGAAACCAAACAACTATAATGCGGATATGTGACCGTTGGATGCAGGAGGGTCCACCTCAGTGCACCACTTCACGTGATGACAGGAACATTGTGCGCATGGCAGTGACGGATCGCTCAGTCACATCACGAACCATAGCACAGTACATTCAGTCTGTAATGCATTATCCAGTGTCTGCGCGTACCATTCGACGCCGTTTACAGCAGAGTAGTCTGCCCGCAAGACGTTCATTGCTTCGTCTACCCTTGACGCAGAACCACAGACGTCTCCGCCGCCAATCATGCAATGACAGAAGGATATGGACGGCAGAATGAAATGAGAATGAAATGAACTTGTCTTTAATGACGAGTCACGTTTCTGTCTGCAACACCACGATGGTCGGATTCGAGTCTGGAGACACTGTGGAGAGAGGATGCTGAACAGCTGCGTTATGCAACGCCACACTGGTCCTGCACTGGGTATTATGGTATGGGGCGGTATTGAATATCACTCTTGCACTCCTCTAGTAAGCATTGCCGGTACTTTAAACAGCCAGCGCTACATCTCTGAGGTGTTGGAGCCAGTTGTCCTTCCTTACCTTCAGGGCTTGCCCACAGCCATATTTCAACAGGATAATGCGCGACCACATGTGGCACGCATTGTCCAAGGGTTCTTCGTCAATCGCCACATTGAATTGCTTCCCTAGCCGGTTCGCTCTCCGGATCTTTCGCCGATAGAAAACATGTGGTCCATAGTTGCTGAAAGATTGACCCAGATTACATCCCAAGCTGCCACACCAGATCAACTTTGGCAACGTGTGGAAGCTGCTTGGTCTGCTGTACCCCAAGAACACATCCAAAGTCATTTTAAATCAATGCCGAGGCGTGTGGCAGCGGTGATCTCCAACAATGGCGCCTAATTTGGCTACTGATTCTGGAAGGAACCACACTTCACAGAAGTCTATAAATTTAATCATTTGATACTTGGTCAACATGTTATCTACTAAATAAATTTTGTTGTGATATGTCATGTCTTTCTTGGTGTTGCAATTTGGGTGGCCAGCAGTGTACATTGCGCATTTATTAATCAGCAATGTATAACATATTTATTAATAATTACAAATTTATAAAAAAGGGGCCACAAGAACTTATATTTTCTAATTTAATCAGATCTAAAATATTGTTTTTTCTTACAACTATTATTCCGGTTTTGTTGTAAGAAAATTGTCAATTATAAATTTGAGCGTTGGCCAGTAAAATTAGAACCGAAATGTTATTCGTACAGAGTGAATGACCATCCACTAACTCACAATTTTTAGATGAGATTTTTAATATAATAAATGCATTTATGTAAGTTAAAAAATAAAATTACATAAAACGTCATCTCACTTCCAAGCTAAACCTCATTTTAAAAATCGATTTGACATAATAATATATTTCTGATCGTAGATTAATATTTTATCTGATTGTTAATGAGAAATCATGAACGTAGACATTATTTATCAATCACGGTGAAATGAAAAAAATATTAATGAATGAGATTTAAATAAAGCTTGTATATAAAGGGAGCAAATAAGTAAACATATGCCAATTATTTGCTTTTAATAACGATTTTCGACAACTTTGAATCCGTTTAATAGTCTCCTATCTAATCAGTGGCTGAATACTTAATTACCGACAGCTGACTAGAAAACTTTTTGTTTTAGAAACTTAAGAACAAGATAAATACTGACTGACTACATATTTCAAATGAAAGAGGTTTAAAAATTATATATTAAAAAAAAAACTACGCTGTGTTTCCTTACCCCTGAAGAATTTGACATTAGCTTTGACGTCATTTTCTAGACGACCCACAGAAGTCGTAATTTCGTAGTTTTTTACGTAAAAATCCAGTTTCCTGTAATTTTTCCTTTCCGGTCCACGGCTCCAAGATTTATCTTGCGACATGAATGGACATCCAGATGATGAAAGGAATGTTCTTTTGCCTTCATCGCATTCCATAGCCCTACACACCAGTGGAGGTTAGTTTTCTCCTTCGGTTTCCATTTTCTACTTCAAACACAGTGAGCACTGCATTGTGGGAAGTTTCTTCGCACAATTCTTTGTACTTCTGTCTCACATTTAAGTCAATATGCGAGGACGGAAATTCTACGAAAGTAGAAAACTGACAGATGATATTTGTTTTCAATTTCTTTGCGGTGATTCCACTACAATGACCCAACTTCTGTGCTTTCTTACCAGCTGCGTCATAAACAGCTGATAGAGCTTTATGACCTACAACAGGCGTGTGCAGCTTTGACAGGACTACTGGCCGATTAGAAATTATAATTATTACGCGGTCGAAGTACTTTTGGATTTATTCATACGAAACTATAAAAAATGAACACATCTTAATTAATTTAATCTATCTAAATGGAAACAAATGCCGTAGCTAGGGCCGGCAGATCAGGTGAGCAGTTTTCATTTCAATTTAATCTCTGTATTACTTCAGACAATAATATAATATTTCTTATTTTTTCATTATTACATAATACCATAATTAGGAAACACCAAAATATTAATTATTAAAATTAAACTGATTCTAAATTATTAAAAAATGTACTATTTAAAAATAATGCTGAAGTTAAATTTTTACATATAATAAAGTATTACAAACTATTGTACAATATTATTAAGAAACATTATATGGAAATATCAGCATAATATACAATTTTAAACTAAAATTTTGATATATACATAAATAATAAAGTTTAATTTCATAATAAAGTTTCACAGAAGGCACATTTGCATTTGACCTAAAACTCCATTTCCACACTCCATTTCGAACCTAAAATTTGACATATACAACAACTCATACAAAATGAACATTTGCATTTGACATTTGTATATGATTTAGAAATTGAATTTTGAAAAATATAATACATAATTAAGTTTACAATTTGCAAAGCCCAATATAGTCAATCCTTATACTATATATAACATTATACACTTCACAATATATTATTAATGTTATATAATATTACATTGGGTAAATAACACTATGATAGTAATAAAATACATTTGCTATGTTGCTTTTACAACTACTAAGTTGTGTATTTTACAGTACAGATTACAATGTAGGTCATAACAATTCAGTTTATATCTTGTTTAAATTTAATGGAATGGCAATTAGTAATAATATCACTGAAGTGAAGAAATTAATTAAGAGAATTATAGATAAGCATATTTAAATGAGATCCTTGAATAATGAGTACGTATCAAAATATTATCTTTATCTATTGTCCTCAATAGTCACTGAGAAAGAGTTTAAGTCTGTACAAATATGAAATAATTTAAAAAGCTTATTCCTATCAATAATGTTGGAAACAATCTTATTTGTCCAATGAGGTAAAAATTGATCTTCTGGCTCAATAAGATGATAATTATTTGTCAGTATGCAATGAAATGCGTACTGGTCTGGGGTTCCAGTTATCCCGCAAGCACAGTTATCATTGTCTTTTAATACAAATCTATGGAGATAGGATGGATAAGGACCATGTCCAGACAAAATGGTGGTAATTGCAGATGCTCCCGTTATTAGGCGATTAGTCACTTTTGGTATGAATTTAAAAGTCCTTCGACCAGTAGAGGAAGAAAACCAGCGCTCTTGCCAGATAATCATTAGATCGTTCATAGTACATCATTTAAGGTACGAGTGAGGAAGAGGAAATTCTGAGAGATCAACTCCCATGGCTGCAGCTTTTGCTTACATAGAATCAGCCAACTCATTCCCCACTGTACCTACATGGGCTGGTGTCCATGAGACAATAGGACGAAGCAGAATAGGAAAACTCAGTAATAATTTCTGGATCTTATAAACCATGGGATTCTTGTTTTATTGTTCTTTAAGGCTATTAGACTGGAAAAAGAGTCTGAGATTATATGTGTTTAGTATTGCATATGTTGAGATATGTTAACAGCTTTCTTTATTGCTAGCAATTCTGCCTGATAAATAGAATTATTTACGTTTAGTCTTCGTCTCCATGTGTGTAAAAGCAAATTATCCCCAAAGACACACAATCCACTTCCTGTACCAGAGTCCACATGGGAGTCATCCGTGTAAATTTGTATTGGACAATTATTTGTATGAACATTATTGAGGTGGATATTGTAATCAAGGTCATTATTTGCTGGGTGACAGAGATAGTTATGGTCTTTGTGTTCAAAATCCGAAAAATGATAGGTCTTGCCCCACAAGACTGTTGATGAATGTAGTCGTAAAACACAGGCTATTGTTGCTTCTCTTCCATAACAAGACCTATTGGAGGTAATCCTGTTAAAACGTGGAAGTCGCCCTATAATCTCTACTTATTTGTAGGAGGAATGACCTTTGTAGTGATAGTAGCAGTCTTCTTTCATGAGTAGTAATGGAAGAGGCCCATATGCTTGAACAGTATCCTATCATTTTCTCAACTACTGTGGTGTACCAATTTTTCAAAATTTTGGAAGAAACTCCCCACGTGCTTGCTGCTGTTCTCTTCATGTTTTGGTTCAAGAGATATTGACTCTATTTTTGATGTATTTAAGGTGAGGGATCCAAGAGAGGCGGAAGTTGATTAATAGTCCTAGATACCCTAACCTAAATAAAGGTACCCATTTTGATTGCAGTCACTCGGCTAATTCCAAGTTATGCCCGACTTAAAAAGGGAACTGCAGCAACTATTGAGGAACCTCAATCAGAATTAAGTTCTACTTCTCTTCATAGTTTCAAAAGCCTGAAATTTCTACAGTGTAGCTTACAAAGATCCATAGTTGCAACAAATCATATGATTCAGAAGCAGTTTGAATTGGAAACGGACATAAGCCTGTTTCAAGAACCATATACTACTAAAAATAACAGACTAATTGGTTCTACTTCTAGTAACAGGATCTTTCTCTCTCACAATAAATTGGCTGCAATAGTCTACAATGGCTCCTTATCTCCCATGGTATGGAAAACAACCGAACATATCATCTCTACAGCCTTGGATACAGCAGAAGGTTGCTTTCTGATCGTTTCTGCTTATTTTCCACCCAGTGAAAATATCGATTCCTTACTATTTGAACTAGATTACCTTAAACTATGCTCATTCAAAAATTACATCTTAGGAGAAGACTTCAATGCATCAAGCTCGCTATGGGGTGCTACATCAGGAAACTCAAGATCAGCTCTACTAATAGATTTCATTGAATCTAATCACTTGGTGATTCTAAATTCTACTGATTCTCCACCGACTCTTGATACTCTTCGTGCAAAAGGCTGGCCGGACCTCACACTTTCAACTATTAACCTAACACCGCTAATATAAGATTGGACAGTCCATGACTTTATAACTTTACGTGATCATAATGCTATTACTTTTAGTTTCCATGCCACCCTCACTGCAATTTTCAAAACACGCTTCAAAACTTTCTATGGTGGAAGTACAAAACTAAAGAGGCACTTTCTTCCTTTTATTACACACTACGATATCTTAGAAGCAATCAGTACAGACAACGTCTACAGCCAACTGTACATGTGTAAGATAGCATGTCGCCAACATTACGAATAAAAAGACTCACACACGTACTGGATTTATTGGTGGTATGATACCTTATTACGGATCGCAGAATTTAGGCAAACTCGAAGACAGCACAAGCACAAGTACCTGCTATTCGTCGGACCTATTTGTTAACTATAAAATCACAAGCTGCTTTAAACGAAAAACATCGCAGCAAGATCCTGCGCAATTGCACAAAACAGTGAACCACGGGACAGCTTTCAAAATGCCACAGAAAGACTTCAGGCCCACAGTCTACCCGCAGAAAGGCCCAATGCTGAGTCTCCAATATATACAATAAAATCGTTCTTCTCCCTTTCAAGAATGATCCACCAGCTGTGACACAGCCAGCAATCAAAAATGAGAGCCAAATTAATACTATTTTCACATAGGCAGTCTACGAACCTCGCCAATAACTCTGAAGGACCAGATAATAAACACTTAAACCGAAAGCCCAGAGCCTATAGCATAGATAAGCTATCAGTCAATGCTTTTTAAAATGCTCCGACCTATTTATTATTTATAATACAGTTGGAGACCCGAACTTCCCTACATACAAAAAGAGAGAGTGGTACTAGTTACAAAAGGCGGATCTCCAAGCATTTCTTATCGTCCTTATCTTCCAGCTTTGGGAAACTTCTGGAGCGATCCTGGGATACATATTCTTATTTCGAATAATGTTCGGACCCACGCAATTGGTTTTCTAGAGGCAATAAAAAACAGGCATTCGGTTTCTTTCATTTTCGGCCACAAGAAAAGAATCTTCACTCTCTCATTATTTTAGATATTCAGGAGCCTTTGCTATCTTGGTGGCCAGACATCCTTGATGCCTGGTCCTATAGAGTTCCAGGAGATCTAGTAGACTAATAAAAAGCTATCTCAGCCTCTCTATTCAAGTTACTCTAACTCTAAATTGTTTGCCAAATTTGCATCGAGGATGCCTCAGGGCTCATGTTTAGGTCCTTTTATGACAGTGTCGCAAATTCATTACTTCAAGAGCCAACCAGCGCCGCGGTAAGTCGGAACACTGGTTCGGTCCGAGGTTCGAACCCGCGAACGGCTGCTGCATGGCTTTTCGTGGTTTTCCCCATGTGTAACGGATACGAGCCAGTTCCTTAGAGCCTCCACGAAGCATCCCTCCTCTTAGAATAGCCCTCGAGCTTGCCATAAGCACACAAACACAACACATACTCAAGAGTTCAAAATAATGAATGTTTATATAGCATATGCAGATGACTTTTTCTATTGTAAACGGAATCAAACTACACAACAATACATTTGCCTTGAAAGATCACAACTGGGGTAAGATTAACATCCATTTAGTTTCTAAGAATAAGCTAGGAAATTGGAGCTGTAGCCCCTCTTAATGAAAGCCCACAATTAAATGTATAGCACTTCTATTAGGTTTTCAACAAGTAAAGTACTAAGACTCACATTGACTCCAGATTTTCTTGGCTGCCGCACCTGAAAAATTAATAATCGATTGGAATTTGAATAATAACAT